TTTAAGGCAACAGGTATAATACGGTGGTGGGTACCTCAAGGGTCTACAGTCACTGATCACCTTTAGCGTCCTGGCCTGGACACAAAGTTAGATGAAGTGTCTCTTCACAGTCTGGAGTCATAAGGATCAACATGTTATCTGCTCACTGCTGGAAATTTCCAACTGCTTTGCTGCCAGAGTCCTAAAACCATAGTTAATGGGCTACCTGATGGCAAAATGTAATTTTAATCCTTCATTTTCTTCCAAAGTAGGAGAGTAGACGCTCTGTCTAGCTCGGTGGTAAATGGGCCCACCTTTTGCCCCTTTAAGATAAATGTGTAGTAACAGCTTCCTTTGAGAAACTCTCCTTTTTAGTTCTAATAGAGTATGGGTGGTCAAGGAAAAAGCTCCAGAGGCAAAGCTTCAGGCATGAGGGGGCCTACCTTAGACCTGGGAGGCAGGGATAAACAGGGATAAACAGCTGTTGTTTCTGTGTCCTTCTCAGTGTGAGCACATACTATCATTTTAGTTGCAAATAGTCACTCCTTTCTGACGTGTGCATCTTTACCTTCAGAAACAAAATCAAATCAAACTGGCCCAGAGGAACAGGTGCTGTGGGTCCATAGGGCACTTCCAAATCTCAAACTGCCTGTGCCTATGGGTTTTACTGAATGAACTTGGAACCAGTTCTGCTGTTGTGGCTGGCTCTCAATGCATTCGAAAGACTTTATGCATCTTAGCCATTAGGGCAGAGTGTCAAGTGTCAGGAAAGTGACATACTTCAATGGAAGGAATGTAATGAAAGCTAACGTGGGAAGTCTCCTTCCTTCTGGCTTCCAGAGATAGACTGACTCATGTTTTTGCTTTTGGGTAAGGACTAAATAATCAAAGGCCAAGTGCAGCCAGATCCCCTTGTGTGCCAGGGAGTCCTGACCTCACCTCATGCCCTGCTACAACAGCAAACAGCCATGGAAAGCTCTGGCAGCCACTAGGGAACCTGCCTGGCTCTGACTGATATGCCAGAGTGACTCCTAAGGTGAGGGAGAAGGTGGGAACAGAACTGTTTGTGCTTTTCCTATTAAAATGTTTAGACTGACAAGCAATCAGCTGTGAATTTACTATTGAGAATGCCACCCAGGAGCTTAACTACCCTTGTAAGTTCAACTGATCAAATACCACATTGTACTCAGAGGAAATGGAGAGAGTGAGCATCTTGGGTTAGAGTATATACCCCAACACCCAGAGATACCCACATGCATGTTCTAGGCTCTTCTGCATTTTTCTGACATGCTAGTCCTACACACTTGCTTGCTCAGGTCACTTTACTAAATTCAGAGGACATGAATCGTGAGGACACAAGCAGCAGCATCTTCATACTCAGGATTCTGAAAGGCTCAAGATATAACTTGCTTTGGGGTAACCCAAACTCTCCCATGAGGCATCTGGGTCTTAGGGGGCCTTAAAGTGGGACAATATGCCTGATGTTCAGGCACCCAGAAATGCCAAGGCTATAACCATCTCTGTCTTCCCACCCAGGAGGCTAGGAAGCAGAGGGGATGGCAACAGGCTGTGAGGAGACAACGAGACTGAATAAAGCAACTTCCAATCTTCAGGAGAAAATGCTCACATTGGGGGGGGGGGCGTTTTCAGAAAAAAAAAGGATGAAAGACAAAAGGCTTCATAGACCCAGTCACTTACCAGACTTTTCTTGAAACCTCAAAGGCCATTTGGGACATTGACAATGACAAACACTCTGTCTCCACATGGGCCAGAAAGCAGGGTGTGATGAGGGCATTGGGGAGAGCTGTTCATAATCCCTACCAAAGTTCTGCCTCCTTAGGAGATGCTAGCCTATGAAGGAGACCTTGGTGTTCTTATAAATGCTTTATAATGTAAATGTGGACTGTAAAGAACAGAAAAGTTGCAAGGGTATTTTAAAATCCAGATATGCCCACACCAATAGCATGTATCAAGTTCCTAAATAGAATGTGTCAGGTTTACATTATAAAAAATTCCCTTGTTTGATGTATGTAGCTATGGAGAACAGGTGTTTTCCCAGCCACTACATAAAAAGCATATATGCTTGGAGAGAACACAGATGATGGTGGGTGCAGATTTCTTCAGCAGAGGAACTCGAGATAGTACAGCATTCTGGGAGAAATCAGCTGGAGACTGTTCCTTCCTCTTAGTTAGCAGCATTGCTCTGGGGAGTTGGGCTGGGTCCTGAGAAGGCTTTTGCTGGCAGTGGTGGAAGGGATGGCAAGTCACTTCTGGTTTCTGAGGAACCACATAATGATGCTACCATGGCAACTGCCACCAGTTGCTTAAACTGACAGAGCGATAGCCTTTGCAGATGCCTCACTAGGGCAGGGTTCAATTTTACGCAGGAGAAAGAGATGAGGAGAGAAATAAGGTGGTGTGAGTGGTAGACATTCACAGAAGCAAACCCATGGCCCACCACAATTCTCTGGCGCCCTCAATGAGGAAAGGGAGAGGACAGAGTTAGGAAGCATGGGCACATGGAGTATCAGAACATGTTACCTGGATCGGTAGCAAATGTGGCAAAAGCTAAAGGAGGGGACAGTGGGAACACGCTCTACAAGCAGGGAAACTGGAGCAGCAGGCATGGCAAACTGGGAAGGAAGATGATGAAGAAGAAGGATTGAGGCAGAGAAGGATGAGCAAGGATTATCAACATTTTGGAGAGAAATGAAGTGAAATTTCAAGACGTGGCATCACTGAAAGCAAGTAATGGATCATATTTCTCAATCCATCTCATAAATACAGACCCCAGAACAAGGGGATTTCTGATGTCTCCTGCACTATACCTGATCTGAGGATCAAAAGAGAGACTTCAGCTCCAGGGCTGCTAAGGTTTCCCTTACCATTGCACCAAAGCCACCATTGCCATGTTGCAAAGAGCACAAAGAGAGAACAAGACAGATGACAACCCTACAGAACATTGGTGTCAAATGAGTCTAAAGAGAAACAGTAGACACAGGACAGGATGCAAGGGCTCCCTCTGAAGGGCATCTCCGGTCCCACCTCACCTCTAACATGCCTGTTGGTCATTCCAGGCTTGGGGACAAGCTGATTGGGTGAAAAGAGGCTAAGCCTTGGACTAGCCTACATCTATCTTGAACTTTTTGCAAAAATTCACATCAGCACATACTTTATTCCTACATTCATGAATGATGAGGGAATTAGAAGTATAAAGTAGGAAATTAACATTTATTGATCGCTCACACTGCCAGATCCAGTGCTACACACTTTGCATGCTTTATTTTGTCTCTATTTATAGATAAGAAGTGGAGGTTAGGATAATTGATATTTTGGTGCATGGCTAACACAAAGCTGACAAGAAGGGCTAGGATTCAAACTAGGCTCTGTGTGTCCCCATAAAGCATCACATTTTCTGTTCTGCCCTGTCACCTGTGAACTCTGTTCTCAAAGGTCTGGTGAGTTCTGTCCTCTATGCTTCTCTCTCCATCCTTTACTTAAGGATAGACAGACTGTTCCACTGATGTCAACATAAGAGAGAAGCAATATGGTGACTAGTATATGCAAATGAACTGATGAAATGGAAAGAACTTGGCCTTTTAACAACCCAACGGTCATATTTTATTTATCCTGAACAACAACAACAAAGATGGGCTTTCTTAAGACAATGAATCATCACATGGAGAAAGAACAGTTGGGAGTCCCCTTGGTAAAGAGAGGAGGTTGCCCTTCTTTCATATGCTGTGAGAACCCACACAGGATCTCTATTTGCTAGGAAATGCCGTGCTTTTGTGAGATGTCTTTGGGAACAGCTCGGCCGTATCTTCTAGGAACCTTTCATTCTGTGAGGGAAAGGTGACTCTTCATAGCTTCCATGGGGTTGACCCACCACTGTATATGGGGACAAGGCACACTGAATCACCCTTGCTGCCATTTTGTCAGGGGATCACAATCACACTTGGCCTGGCCCTGCTGAAGTGCCTGTCATAGCTCCTAAAGCAATGGACACAGTCCACTTCTAGGTTCTGAGCGATTGTATTTAACCCAGCTGGGAACTCTCACCTCTCCTGCCGAGCACCCTTGCCCTGAACCCTGTAGTTCTTACTCTACCTGTTTAACTGCCAGGATGGAGAAGGGCTAAAAAGCTGGCAGTGCTTTGGAGACGGTAAATGGCAGAGGACACCTTTCTTATCCCTTGGATATGGGAAGGGTATATAGAGACACCTTGCCCCAAATGCTTCCTCTGCCCCATGTGGCTGTAGCCAGCCTTGCTTAGAAGACAAGGCTCAAAAGGCTAAAAGGAAATCCTACATGCCACCCAGAAGAAAGGGAAGTTGTCTGGGATGAAACAAGGTACAGACTGAGCCCAGAAGGCTGATATCTATCCTGGCATCTGATATCCTGGTATCCTGATATCTATCTACCTGGTTAGCCAAAAAAAGTCTCTGGCAGCATCTCTATTTCTCAGCCACATTCCAGAGGGCTAGGGGAGCCCCTTACTTCTGGCTAGAGTCCATGGGAATTCCGTGATATAGTTGAAAACCTATTGCATACAGCTGGATCAATGTGTGGGGGAAAGAAATTTCTCCAAATATAATGAATAATTTAAGAACATTTTCTTAAGTATATTATCAGGAAAGGCTTGGAAAGTCATTTATTTTTGAGATTACATACATCCATTATGGTTTTATGTCCCTGGACTAGCTCTCTGTTACCGCTGCTCATGGGCAGAGCATGCCCAGGATTCTGGAATCCCCAACTTTCTCTGCATTGTCTTTCATGATGCTCTGGCCTTTTCCTTCTTCCTTGCTCCTCCTAATTCCTTACTTAGGGCATGTGAACTGCAACTATAAGGCCTTAAAAACTTAAGCTTGAGAGCAATTGGAAGCTGACTCCTAGAGCATCACTCTTTGCTACCAGTCTGAGTCTTTCATTCTCAGGTGTGCCCTGGAGACAGGTGCAAATCAGGCAGGGACTCCAGGAAGAAACGAGGGAGGGAAACACAACAGGAAACTACTTACGCCAGAGCAAAGGCTACCAATGCACCAACCACCACCACAAAGTCCAGAATGTTCCAGAGGTCTCGGAAGTAGGATCCATCTTGCAGGATCAAGCCTTGGTCTATCATCTGCAGGATAAGGGTGTGAACAGCCATGTATGAGTCCCATGGTGCACGTAACACCTACACTGGACTTTGCTTCCTAATGGCAATGGTTCCACTGTGACTGTCTTCACATTCAAACCCACCCTGGGCCTTAGAAGCAAGGGGGTATTGCATAAGCTCTCTCCAGGTAATGGTGAGGACTGAGACCTCTTCTCGCAGTCACACATGTTCTCTCTAGTTTACAATATAGGCCTCCTCCTGTAGCCACATAGGGTTGAGTTGGACTTCGCTGCCATTACAGAATCCTGCTATAGTCCTCTTTTCTTCAGTGTCTCAGAGCTCCAGATATTGCCACATATGCATGAATGGGTATAAAACCTAGATGGGTAAGACTTGGAATGAGATAACCTTGTGAAGTAATAGGTGGCTAGAGGACGTTTGGTTGGTATTAGATGCAGTCTGGAAAGACTTACCTATATCTAACCCTTTGCCTTGGCATGTACCTAGTTCAAGACTGGAAATTTGCTATGTAGATGTATACATCCTCAAGCTGTCTGCCCACCTACCTCCTGCTTGGACCATCAGTGTAGGTCCAAACTGCACTATTCAAACACATCTACAAAGCCATGCTTGCTGAGGACACCACGGCCAGAGAAGGGCTCAGCAGAGGCCTTGAGGTTCTCATGGGCCAGTAGATGGCATTATGGAGGAACAGCCCAAAACTAAAGGAGCAGACAAGTGATCCACCCAAACCCTGGAGCCCAAATTTTCTCTAGATGCTTTTACCTTTATAACCATCTCAAAGGTGAACACTCCGGTGAAAACATAGTCAAAATACCTCAGGACCTGTAAGACACATATGACCAAGACAAAGAGGACCGGGTGAGACCACCAAGCTATGCACATATCTATCCACTGACCCATGTAGTACTGCATGACCACACTGGTTCTTAAATTTCACCTCAGAACAGTGATGAATTATTAACATAACCTTTAACTGGACTGAGTGGTGAATACAGGGCACAAGGAGCCATGGAACCTGCTGAAGCCACATGGCCCGGGGTCAGTCCTTGGCTATTCCTTTCCTTTGGGTAGAACCCTCTTTAACTTCTTAGGTATGAATTGCACCACAAATGTTTTGCTCAGAATCTGTGGGTACCCAGGAGATACTGCAACTCCCTGTGGTAGAGCTACAGTTCCCCCAGCATCACACATATCACCTATGGTTCTATGGTCCTGTGTTCAAGCCCTCTGATAGTTGCAGGTCCCTCTCAGAGTCCTAGCTGGCTCTAGGTGTGAGGCCCACTGCTGAAGCATAAAGGCAGTGGTGTGGTTACAGATGACAGAACTTCTCTGGAAATGGCTCACAATTATCTTTGAGAAACAGGCATGGGCAACTTCTCTATTCCCAGAAACCTTCCTGATATCTTGGTTCTGATGCTGGGCTGGGATGGAGTAGATCCCAGGGCATTAGGAGGATTGGAAATTGGTCCCTATACACCCACTTTGTTGCGTTCTGAGTTGGTCAAGACAGGGTCCTCAGCTGCCAGGGCAATGCTGCTGGCTGCGATCACCAGGAGGATGCACATCTCGAAGTAGCGCAGGTTCACAATGTAGTGGCAGGCCCTGCGGATCCTGTGGGGTGGGAGAGCCTGCTGAGCTGGCCCTGCATCCTTCCCACGCCTGCACCTCTTACTTTCCACTTTCCAGTCCTCACCCCTGAGCCCTCCGCCGCAACCCCCTCCCCCAGCCTCTTCCAGACAGCCAGACCCTCATCAAAGGAAGCCACTAGGGAGAGCAATTTAATTTATCAGGCAGCGCCCCTTGATTTCAAGCCTTAGTGGGGGAAGGTAATCAGATTTGGTTAGCGGCTTTGGCACGCAAGCCAAGATACATTGTCTGCACATACAATTGAGCGCAGGGAGCAGCTGTTTGAGACTACACAACCCCAGGTGGTACATGGTGCCCTCTACTGTCTGCTGCATCTTAGAGTCTTCTCCCCTAACCAAGGAAACCAAGATCTGTCTAGGAAATTATAAAGGATCAAGAAACACAAAACCAGACCTTGATTCTAAGGCCTTTAATGAAAATAGCATGTTTTCATGGCTCCCTGACAATTCTGATGAAAGTAACTGAATTCTATGCTACAGCTTTGGATGACCTGGCAGTTTACAAGTTCCTTCCATTCCACAGTCTTGCCAAAACCCTGCACACGTAGCCTCTAAAGGCTTCTTTGTCTTCCTCGTCTCAGAAGCTGGTCCATATGTCATTTCCAGAGTAGAAGGCACCTTCTTCATAATTCCTTCCTAATCCCATTTTTCTTGAGTCTATGCTTCTAGATTCTTCTGACACCTCTTCCCCATGCTTCTACCTCTGCTCTAGGGTGTAGGCTTGCTTCAAATATCCATATTCAGGACAGTAGGCCCCAAACTTCAAACTGCAAAAGATATCTGACCATCCTAGGAAACATAGATCTTAGTTCTGTCTTTGTCCAGACTACCTGGTGACATCCTTAAAGAGATTTCCTTTCCTCTATGCCAGCTACAAAGAATGGATGAAGGGTCCTTTCCAGTATTCCATCTTTATTTAGTTACCCTGAAGACTATGAGCACAGAACGAGAGGCTATTCAACTTAATGACTCACCTCACCTCTTGGCTCCTAGATGCTTCTGTATCTGGCCTCCCTCAGGAAGATGACCAGGCTTCCTGCCTCCTTCCCACCATCCCAGGCTGGCTCAAGTTCTGGCTGTCTATTCTAGTACCATAGGGGACACAACAGGAGCATGGCTTACGGGTTGGTGGTACTGAAGATGAACATAGAGCTGTGGGGCACCATGGCTTTGCCCGTTTCTCGCTTTTCCTTCTTCTGTTTCTTCTTCTCTCCCTCTTCTTCCTCCTCTTTGATATCTGCCTCCTTCAAGGGACTGGCTTCTCCATCAGTTTTGTTGCTAACTGCAAACAGAACATGTTGAAATCTTCAGAAGCCTGGTGACATGCGTGGTGCCTTGATTCAGATGGGGACAGCACAGAGGCTATGACAGATGTCAATGATGCCCCTAAGTAGGCAACATAACAGTATTGGAAGATGTTGCCCACTTTACATTGTGTAATGTCTTTCTCTTCCTCTCGTTCTTATCCTTGCTCACGTGTTATATGGCACAGCCTTTGGTGACATAAAAAGGATAATCATACTTTCCATTTTGTACCTTAATTATTAGAGTCTGGAAAATAGCATGACTGTTTCAGCTGCAAAACTTACAAAATTTAGATACTGTATCTATACTCCAGCTCACTTATTGAAATACCATATCAGAATGCCCCATTATACAGGTGGGAAAACTGAAGTTCAGAGATTCTATGTACCTTTCCTAAGGTCATATAGCTAGCATAGTTCTAAATTTTATTTTAAAATGTTTAAACTTTATGTGTTTCAGTATATTGCCTGCATGTATGTAAGTGCACCCATGCCATGCAATGCCCATAGAGGTCAGATGAGGGTATTGGATCCCCTGGAACTGGAGTTACAGATGGTTGTTAGCATCCATGTGGGTACTGGAAACTGAACCTAGGTCCTCTGTAAGAGTAGTCACTGCTCTGAAGCATTGCCTCATCTTTCCAGTTCCCAATTTTAGACCCTATATGCCTTCATGAAATTGCACTGCAGAGGAAGATTTCAGGAAGCCACTATTCCCTGTGGCTGCCTTTCTGCCTGTGCTGTCTCCAGCTGTGATGGATGTAGAAGTGAGAAGGTAGTATTCATGTGAGTACGGTCCACTGTGTTCCAAGGCTGGGAGGAAGCAGCAGCCAGGGCAGAGTGGCACTGTCAGGTGACTGCTTTCTGCTCCTACAGTCAAGCCAGGTGGCAGGAGGCTGAAGTTTTCAGAGTGAAGAGAGAGCCCAGGCAACCTCCTCCCACTGCTCTGTGGTCAGTGAGTTGCACCACCCTGGTGCTCAGTATAAGTAGCAAGCCTCTGTTGTAACAGCACAGAGGATACGGCAGGATAGCCTTCTGATAGGTAAGTGCTAAGATGTACCTACAAGCCTTCCTATCATGCTCCATTCTTGTGGCAAAGACCACACACTAGCCCTGGAGTGAGAAAAGAGGGATGGTCAATCTACCTTAGATTGTTTCTCATAAAAGATGATCCAAAACACTTATTTAATAAAAGAAAAATCAGATAGACATTAAAAGTGACTTTGAGCCTGAGATCCTGAGACATAACAGAGTCCATCCCCAGCAAGCACTGGGTATGGGGTATTAACTTTTTAAATAGACCAGGCATTTCTGAGAGTGGAGACTGTGAAGGAAGAAAGAGTGAGCAGTGGAAAACGGGCAAAGAGGGTTCAAGGAGATTGACATGTGAAAGAAGAATATGGGAAAGATTAACGCAGGGACAGAGCGTGGGGACAAAGATAGCATATGGGATTGGTGTAAGGATGGAGGGTAGTGGAATTAATACAAGGATGGTATAGGAATAGTGCAGGGATGGGCTGTGGGGACAGGGATAGGGTGTGGGGTTAATGCAGGGATGGGGTGTGGAAACAGGAACAAAGTACATGATTAATGTAGGAAGGAGGTGCAGGGTCCAGGTAGGGATAAGGAGTGGGACTAAGGCAGGAATGGGGCTTTGGCTCAGGGTAGAGATGGGCATGAGATGAATGCAGAGATGGGGTACAGGACAGGGATGGGACATGGGATAAACATAGGCATACAGTATGAGTTCAGGACAAGAACAGGCAAAACATGAATGTAGGGATGAGGTGTAATTTAAGAAAGGATGGGATAGGATTAATGCAAGGATGGGGTTTGGGGCCAAATAAGGGCAGTAGTTAAATGTTCTTTTTTGATATATTTCCCTTTAGGGTTTCACAGATCAACATCTTCGCCTGAAGGAATTCTGATGGAGAAGTGGTATAACTAAAAGATCCTAGGAGAAAGAGAAAAGCTGAGAAGAGTAATTGAGTCATACAATGTTAGTGCAGGGAAAGGCCTCAGACATCATCCAGTTCAGTGCTCTTGTGTTATACATGACAAAGTGAGGCCTCCAGAGATGCTGGGGTTTTTGTGAGACTACTAACTGGGCAGAGGCAGTGCCAGAAAGAACCATTCTGCTGACATCCACCCTAGCAGGACTCCCTCCCTTGCTGCTGTAGCAGTGTACCAAGGAGGTCACAAGGGCACCATGGGTTAAACTTGATTACAGAGTGACTCTGAAGACTCAGGTGGTCACAGAACCAAATTCTACAGAAGAAATTTAAGATTGAGGAGACTAACTCTGCAGGGGAAACTGGCCCTGGATTAGCCCTGCTGGTGTGGCTTTCCACAAGGCTTTGTGAGAAGGAGCCCGGAGTCAGCTGTCCCCTGCTGTCTATGGGATAGGTGGTGGTGGGACGGGGGGGGAGACCGTGCTCACTGTGCACCACTGTTGAGTCCATCAAGGGGTCCACATCAGGGATGGCAACGGTGACGCTGGTACTCTCAGTGGTGGGCTTGTCTGCGTTGGCTGTGATGCAGGACAGATCAGGCTCACTCTGGCTGATACCCCGGCCTACATCCAGCTGTACATCCCCAAGCAGGGCCTGCTCACTGCTGCCTTCTGGCTCCTGCTCTGTCAGCACTGCATCCTTTCCCACTTCTGGTTCAGGTTGAGGTGGGACTAGAGGTGTTTCTTCTGCCTCATCAAGGGCTCCTGCCAGTCCAGAACCTCTAGGAACCATCAGACTGTTGGTCCTGAGAATAAAGCAGATGATGACCACAGTTCAGAAGCTGTTCTAAAATGGCTGATGTATCTGGCTAAAGGGAAAGGGGAGAGGAACCTGATCAGGCCTGCTGGAGAGCACACAGCACATGCGACCTTCTACCGACACCCAGGCACAGAGGAGCAAAGACTTGCAAGCTAGGCCCACTGACTTATTCCCATCCATTCACCCATCTAGCCATCCACCTATGCCTCACTCCCAGTAGAGAGTCCCTTGAACAGACCCCCATTTTCATAGGGAGAGTGCCTGTTACATTTATATTTGTATTTATTTTATTATTTTTATTTTATGTGTAATTATTTTATTATTTTTATGTGTATTGCCTCCATGTAGGTAGGTGCACCCATTTTGTGCATTGCCTGTGGAGGTCAGATGAGGGAGTCAGATTCCCTGGAACTGAAGATATGGATAGTGGTTAGCCTCCATGTGGGTGCTGGGAATCGAACCTGGGTCCTCTGTAAGAGCAATCAGTGCTCTTAATGCCTGAGGCATCTCTCTAGCCCTGCCTATTAAATTTAACTAGGCCTTTTAAAGGGTGTTTTCACATCAGCTCCATCTTAAGACCCATGAAGGTTTCTATCAGAGAATTCCTTACACCAACATGAGCTGTGTACTTCCAGTGCCCCATTTGGACATATTTACCTCCTTAAGTCCTGGGCTCTTCCCTCTTCATGGATGGTTGGTTCCTTGCTCCCATGGCTGCCCCTGGTTTCATGCTCCTTTTCCCCCTCAGTAGACACCCCTTCATCCAGACTCCGCTCCTGGCTGGCAGATCTGCTCCGGGAGGCTGATGCAGACTCTTTGCCCTCAGTCCTGACTCGACGGTGCCGGCTGCGCCGCTGGCTCTGCCTGTGTCTGGTCCGGTCCTCGAAAGTCACCACAGTCTCTCCTCCCCCCGCTTCCTGCTGGGTTGGGTCACAGTTCCCATGACAGGACCTGGCTAGCCATGGTGGCTCCCGTTTGCCCAAGGACAAGGGGCTCCTCTGGTTGTCCAGGGCACTGGTCAAGGCCCCTGTAGTCCCCTTGAGCGAGCCCCCACGGCTGATGCGTTCCTCTTCACACTTCTCCAGGCCCAAACCTAGGGCTAGGCCCTCAATGGGCCTGGGTCTCCGGTAGAGGCTGGGGTGAGCATTGAGTGGGTTGAGGGGGCTCAGTGGGTTGAGGGGATTGAGGGGGTTCATCGGTGGGGCCTCTTCTTTGTTGAGGGCCTCCTGGCTAGACATTTGCATATGCCTCCTCAGTTGGCTGGTGCGCTGCTCCCACACCGACATGTGATGCCTTCGTCTCCTCTCCCTCCTGCCAAAGGGGAAAAGGCAAGGGCCACAGTCAGAATCTGACAGCATATGTCAGGGAGGGCAGCCACAGGGGGCCATGAGTAGGGGCCACATGGTGAAGGAGCTAACAGGAGAGGTCAGGACCCACAACAGGAAGCACAGAGATGCAAGGAGCAGAGTGGCCACACATAAGTAGGTCATCAGACTAGTGCCTCCCAGTCTAGTCCAGTCCAGTCCGGGGTACTTTTCACTCCAGTCCCTATTCTGCAGTGCAATGGCTGAGGGGTGGGATAGGGTACTTTTCACTCCAATCCCTGTTCTGCAGTGCAATGGCTGAGGGGTGAGATAGGGATCGGCCCAGGACTAAGCTCCATGTCCTCAAGGCCTGTGAGAGTGGCAGTAAAAACCTCACTAGGCCTCCCTTTCCCCAGTGCTTCTTTTATTTCAGATATCAAGTGGGGCCTCCTTTACACCCACCAGTGGCCCTTCATTCAAAGTCAGTCTCCTCTCCCCAGTCCTTCTGAGATTGCAGTCTGGATTAGTGCAGGGTATGATGTACCATGTTCTGATACCAACAAAAGGTTCAGAGCAGTGGCAAGCAGACCTGTATGCTAACAGTGGTATCATCCCTTGAAAGTAAGACAGCCAGGGATTTCAAAGCAATAGCTAATAAAACTTAGGGAATATTGTATTCACAGAGACCACCAGCAGGCCACAGCCAAACTACTGCTGAGCATTGCAGCTCAGGGCCCTAATGAGCAATCAGGTGGCACCAGGAACACACGAACATGACATATGGAACACAGGCATGGACTCCTCAGGTGGAAGGGCAGACACCTACTCCTTCTCTCACATGACTCTAGCACACACCCACCAACTGTTAAAGGGATACGCACATGGACCCACACGCATCCTCACTGAGGCCCACACAATGATGTACACAACTGCCTACATGAAAGGAACACCCACTAGTACTAATTACCAATACCAGCATGTACCGACTCCCAGGCCAAACACAAGAGCCAACAACACACTGTCACGTACTTTAGACACACACTGATATAAACACACACTGAAAGGTACAGAGGGGATGCTCACAGATGTGCATGGAGCACACACATATATATATATATACACACACACACACGCGCACGTGCACACACACCAAGGCACACACTAACATGCACACCCAGGGTCACTTTGTCCATGGCAAGGACAAAGACACATTGTCCCCATGCCCACACAGAGCCACTCCCAAACACGCAGACCGGTACACACATACAGGTGGCTGCTGCGCGGCTCCCACATCGACATGTGGTGTCTTCTCCTTCTGTCTCTTCTGGGAAAGAAAAACGAACAGGTTCAGTCCACCCAACCTCTAGGACCTTCAAGCCCCACAGCCACCAGCAGATGTCCAGAGGGAGGCCAGAGTCCTCTGCATGTCCACAGGGCTTCCATGCACCTGCTTGCCCTCTGTTGACTACCAACCTCCTGCTCTCTCACAGTATGACTTCTGAGTCTTTACTGTGTGCAAATATACAGCTCCTGTTTTTGAGGCACACACGCAGAGTCTCAGAGGGCAGACTTTCATATTGGCTACTGCTTCTAATGCTTCAAACACCATGCCCCACTGCATTCGCACTGCCACCTAAGCACCCTTCGGAACCCTTTTCTTGATGAGCAGTTGTCCCTTCCCCAAGTCATTTCAAGGGTAACAAAGCACATTCACCCAGGTGTGACTCCCCAGCTTGTTGCTCCCATAGCGGATCCTGGCTCAATCTTATGGAACATGCGAGTAACAAATGTTCTGCCATGTACATCAGTGAGGCTATAGAAAAGCCTATGGCTAAGGATAGGGCCACCACTGTGGGGGCCACAGGATGTGAGTAGTGCTCTGTACCAGAAGCCTTGAATTTTTGCTCCATTTATCTGGGTGACACACAGTATCGGCCTTAGACGTGTTTAAAGAAATATCACTTCTCCATACACATTGTGTCCTTTCAAACACAAGTTTAATGGATGATCAGAATGACAGGATGAATGGAACTTGAAAAATTAGAAATGTGTATGTCAGCACAGGGTCACTGCTAGGGTGGAGGGCAACACATCTGGGATATACGCAGAATGACTTCGTTCTTGTCCTTGGGCTAGTTGACCCAGTCCAGCCTGGTGAGACTTGGCTCTGGGAAGCAGGTAAATGATGCTCCTTTCCTGCGAGGACACTACCAATGCAGAACATGCCAGGCAAATGAACACTGCTCAACGGCAGCATATCATGCATCTGGAAAGAAGCCTGATACAAGGGCTGAGGAAGTAGAGGCAGCTGGTCTGAGCCTTTTTGGGGGGTGTCTGGAAGAAGCACAAATGCACATATGTGCACACAAGCACCCACGGATGTAGGCATTATTGTGGAGATGCTGTGAGCTTCTTAACTGAATACATTCTGAGAGCAAGAGGGCACAGGTAGGGTGGGAGGTGAGAAGCACACAGAGCATACAGATAAAGAAGGGAGCCCTCTAGACAGGCAGCATGCACACCTGCTAGGAAAAGCACATCATATCTGGTTCTAAATTCTCATGTATTCAAATACCAGCCTTCAGGAGCATGTATGAAAATAGATGGAAGAGTTCTCTCTTTCCCCTTCTCTCTCCCTCTTTCTCACACACACACACATACTTTTCCCAGTCACACTCATTTCTCTTTCTCTCACATACTTTCTCATTTTCTCACACATTCTCTCATACTCTCATTCTTTCTCTTACACACACACACACACACACACACACACACACACACCACAGCATAAAAGACCAGTCTTTCTCATACAGACCAGATATATACATAACACTCTTTCACCTCTCTGTTGTGTATGCAAAATTCCAAATTTACATTCATATTCCCAAAAATCACACAGAGTAGACACATATCTCCAACTCATGTGCACATAGCCTTGTATATACCCCCAAATAACCTTGCCAAACAGAAAGGGCAGGTGTCCTTCCAATTTCAAAGATGGGGAAATAGAAGTTCTGAGGTCCTAAGTGGTCCTCCTCAAGGTCACAGAGCATATTATTAATAGAAATAAAATTAATATTTGAGCCCTTGGGTTAATAGTGATGCTCTTTCCATGTCTATCGTGGCAACTGCATTTGTGCTTACACTGCAGACAAGAAATTAGTGATCTGAGCTACATACCTAAGCAAGGCACAGACCCCGAGATCACTCCCACCAGCAGTGCACACCTCATGGCATGTGTGCAGCAACCAAAGCCCAGGTGTCAGCTCATCTCAGACGTCTGCATCCCCTTCTTCACCTTCATTCTGTACTGATATACCACTGGATTCCCACAGCCTCGTGCCTACCCATATTTCATTCATTCTTCTATTCTATAAATAGTTTCTACTCTGGGCCAAGTATCATCTCCAATCGCATCTCTCCAAATCTTCTCCCCTAAGCTTCCTCAGCTCAGTAAATAGAACCACCCACTCCTAGTGGCAGCCAGTCCTATCCATCTGCAGTTCTGGATACCTGAGTATATGTGATTTTAGTCAAAACTTAAAAGTTCAGGGAAGATAGGGTAGAGATTACTCAAGATCCATAGAAAATTCTGAAGAGGAAGAAGTTGTTTGGTATTCCCCAATCAATCTTTAATGATTTTTTTTCTCAGACTCACACAAGAGGGGGTTACAGGCCAAGCCATCCCACTTTTGCAGAGCAAAAATAAAACAGTAAAAGAGAAGGGAGGCACTACACCAAGCTGGGGAGCACCACCATAGGTGAGGTGGAGCCACTCAAGAGTTCCTCCCTCCCATGAGCACAGAGCCACCAAGGACTCCTCTCTTACCAGCTTTAAGTAATGGTGACAGGACCTAGTAGCTCAAGATATATTTCTACTTCTCAGTGGGCTTAGACTGTCCCTGTGGATACTACAGGACCACTGACACAAGCCTTATGCAGGTCCCGATCAACATCAGGAATTCTGTGGCTCACCTCCAACACCTGTCCCTCTCACTGGACAGAGGCCAGGCCTGTGAAAAGTCATCTTTCTCACTCCCTAAGTTTTTCCATGGAGCATAGATCTAGGTTAGATCCAGGAAGAGTGATTCCAGCTCTCCTCCTTACTGCCTCCCATTCTCTCTCTATTCCACCCGATTCTGTTTCTTCCTGTATATTGCAAGGCCACTGACAGGTTTTGTTTTGCTCAATTCAATGGTCCCTTCTCTCTCCCCAGTGAAGGTGGTCTTTCAACACTATCTAGTGCCGCTGACTGCTCCCTGTTCTTCCTTGTCCCCTGGCTGTGCTCCCTTGCCTCTTCTCCTTGCTTTTCCTGGTAGATAGACATATGCTCAGCCTCTGTCCTCAGCTCCACTCTTCCCAGTTTCCACTCTCCCTGGGTCAGCTCTCCCACACTGATGGCTTAAATACCATCTAAATGCAAATGACTTCCCCCAAATCTTTATTTTAATCCTGACTTCCAAGCACTAGACTCATGTAACCAATAGCCGATTCAAACACTTGGTTGCCTCAGCAGTATCTCAGATTCAATGTGGGTAAAATGTAGTCTGGATTTCCACTATCTCTGAGGCATCAATAAATACTGTAACCCTCTGTCCAACTTTTTTGGGTCACAAAACCATAAAACCCAAGAGCAGTTTTTATTTCTTCTCTCTTTTTCATCCTTGCTCACTACTGCATTTAATCCATGAGTGCATCCGATTGGCTCACATTCCAAAATACAAACTGAATTGAATTTCTGGTCCTTTCCTCTGTTGCTACCCTCCTCATCTAAGCATCAGCATCCACTTTAAGAACCAGATGTGTCCTACTATTTCCACAGTTGGCCCCCATAACCCATTCTCCACAGAGCAGAGTGGTCTTTTAAAGTAGAAACCATATGTTATCTGTCCTCCATGTTAAGTCTTCCCATGGTTCAATTAGAATTAAAGCTAAAGTCCTCTAACTGGGCCTTATGGCCTCTGTGTAGGCTCCTGTCCATCTCACTGACCTTGCTATCCTCTATCCCCTTGTTCATGATACATTAGACACACTGGACCTTGCTGGGAGATAGTTCCTTCAGAATGCCACATAACTGCCTCCTTGTGTCTTGGTTTCTACTTATACAGAGTCCCTTTGGATTTCTGTGAGGTATGCGCCCCCCACCATTCTTGTCATCTGCCCTGTGACTCTGTTCTATTTGTTTATAGCATTATTATTATCTGTGATGATCTGCAGATTTATCATACCCCTTCCTCACTAAAATGCAACCTGTGAGAACAGACGCTGCTTGGCTCACTGCTGTACTGTCAGGAACAGTCTGTAGTAGAGAGGAAGTGCCCCCTTACAACCGATCATTTAACAAGCTGATGATTGGCTGATGATTGAAACCCAGAGGTCAGTGATAAGGTGGTCTACTTACTCAATAGAAGGCATGTTGGGTGCAGACATCGGGCTGACCTCCTTGGCCTTCTGTAGTGCATGTTTCTGGTTGAAGGCTTCTTCTTCTTCCTGTTCATCCTAGACACAAAGCAGAGATGGTTTTGCTTGGGATCTCCATGGGGAGAGTAGCTTCCTCTGGGTCTTCCCAGAAAGAACTCTGAAGACCAAGAGGAGGTAAGTAAAAGAACAGGTTAAACAGGCAGCATGAGGTTAGAGACCTCTGATGGCCAGAGACCAGGTCCTTGGGAGATAGCCTCACAGCTCTCACAAACCAGCAATTCTGGTCTATACCCTATATGCCAAGCCTCAGGGAGCTGTCCATGGTTACAAAAGCACCAACAAGCCTCAGATGTTCTTCAGTGTCTGGAAATGATGGAACAGGGTCCTTCCAGGTATAGGCCCCTAAAGTCAGCACTGAGGCTAAGCATCTACCCTGCCATGGGATCTCCCCTGCATGCTTAATTGGCTTTATCTTGGGTTTTTGGGCAGATGTCTTACTTCTCACTCATACTTAATTTTAAAGACTTATTTTCTAAATTTCTATGTATGTGTCTGTCTGTGTGTGAGTATACAGGTACTTGTAGAGGCCAGAAGAGAGCATCAGAGTTACAGGCAGTTGTAAGCCATCCAATGTTGGTGCTGTAAACTAAATGAGTCCTTTGGAAGAGCAGCATGTACTCTGATGCACTGAGCCATCTCTCCAGCCCCACCTCACCTATATTTTTGCTTGAAGGGATGACTTTGAGGAAAGCAATTCAGGTGGTGACTAGATGTATTAATAATATACACATCTTCCTAGCATGTTATGGTTTTCACACACAGCATTTCATTCACTTTCTGCTGTGAGACACATAGGCAGATGCATCTTTCTTGTTTTAAATACGAGGAAACAGATGCTAACAAAGATCCAGAGTCTCATGAATGCTAAAACAGCTAATAAGTGACCAATGTGAGATTTAAACAGTTTTTTATGCCATAAAGCTGGTATTGTCCTTCTCATACTATAGAGATGAGGGTCCTAAGGGATGTAAAGATGAACAGGCAATGTATCACAGAACAAATGGAAAAAGTTCAGAAATTCCAAGAGGATGTCTAAAACCAGATTAGCATTGTGTGAGGAGAAGAGTTTGCACTTATCTCCATTGACAATTTCCCTGCAATTAGTATTGCCTCCTCCCTGGGAGTAGAGAATCAGATGAAAGAAAGAACATCTCTGAGAAAGGCAGCATCTGATTTCATAGACACGTCTCCAAAATATCCATGGCCACTGATTACCCCAGAAGCCATAATGCAGGAGCTGAAATGCCCTAAATCCATGGCTGAGGCCACAATGTCACAGGTTGCAGGTTGCAGTAGCAGAGGTGGGGCTTAAAATCCAGGATTCTAATGTTTTCCTTGGCGCTCCATGTCATAATCCTGAGAAAGACCTAGCTGAGAGCTCACAGAGAAGAGCCAAGTTTCAATATCCCATGAGAAATCCCTGCTGAACTGAAGCTCAGCAAACTCAATGAACAGTAAACCAGGCTTCCTGTGTGGGTATGCATCTCTCCCATTGTCCAGAAGCTTCCAGAGAGAGCTCTCTGCTGGAACAATGCTTACCTTGGTCAGTTCCTGGGCATTGGCCAGATTGTCCACAGCGATGGCCAAGAATACATTCAGTAGTGTGTCTGGGGTTATGGGTTAAGGATGGGCAAACGAAAAGAGGAAAAGCCTTCAGCAAGTCTAGGAGGACACCCCTGGGTTTTCTTGCCTAGGTACTGGAAGAACAAGCCAAGGACTACAAGAGGAAGGAGCAAAGGGATATCATGTCTTCCCTCCTTCCACATACTACCTTTTTACACATAACAAAGAAATATCTGAATCAAACCACTTAGAAAGCTAAATGGAGTAAGGCTTCAGGGAACCATGGCCTCAACCCGTAGGGACAAACAATACATTGAACAAGATGTGCTAGGCGCTCAGTGTAGGTGCCCATCGCTCCCTTCTGGGAGATCAGTGGCCATCATGACAAAAGGAAATGAGAGTCCTCGTCTCCATAATGGGTCACTGACTTACTTCTCTCATTCTTCTTGTTAGGGTCCCAGAAGGCTTCCATGATTCATTTAACCAAATGTTACAACACAGACATGATTCCTTCTGTAATCCTCTTCTACTCCATGCTCTAACCCATGAAGTCCCAATCTTCTGTTTTTGAGGCCCATGTGCTCTGGAATAAAAAATTGGTTCTAGCATAAAAGGCCAACCTGACACAGAGCAGCTTGAGAATCAAGGTGTGGTCATTATAACAGACCGCCTTCCATTTCTGTAGTTCATTGAATAGCTTCTTCTGAGTATCTCAGGTTTAGTTTATAGTCTGCTCTGACCATGAGAAATCTTCAGGGCAAAAAATGAAGAGCATCACTCTTTCAGACTGTATGCAAAAATGTGCTGCCTCATCTCTCTCCCTCTATGCTCTACTGGTCCCAGTTCAAGGCAAGTTCCACTTCCCCAAATGCCTAATGATTACACAAAAGTCTGTAGTTTATAAGGTGCAATTGGATAATGATTTAATTCAATATTTACAAGAGGAAGAAGCAAAGGGAGATATTCTTATCCTTTTTTGAAATATGGAAAACAAAAGCTTTGAGAGATCAAGTTACTTTCCCAGGAACATGGAGCTGATAAGGAACGTCCCTAGGATTCAAGCCTCATCTTTCCGGTCTAGATTTTTTTGACCAATGTCTTAGTTTCATTTCTTGCTGCTAAAATATCCCAACAAAAGCAACTCAGGGGAGAAAGGGTTTATTTTAGTTCACATTTTCAGGCTACAGCCCATCACAGCAGGGAAGTCAAGGTAGCAGAAACTTGAAGCATCTAGTTGCATCCACAGTCAAGAGCACAGAAACAATAAATATGTGTATGTTTTAGTTCATTTCTGCCTGCTCTCCACCATGTATGTGATGTGACCAACTGTGAAATAAAATAAACTCCTTCTCCTCTAAGTTGCTTTTGTCCACATATTTTACCACAGCAACAGAAACTAGGACACTAGGTATAGGATTTAGAGAATTTCATTTTAGCCTTCATTTACAGTTTACTAGCTACTTGATTTGATCCAGCTATTTCCTCTTCTATTATGAGCTAAGAATTAGATTGTCTAGGTAGCACAACAGGTTTCACAAAGAGCATATATAAATACAATAAATATTAGCTTAATAGTATTAGCACTACTTACACTTACATTTTTTAGAAATTTTACTAGTGGTAGACTCTGCTCTATATAAATATATAATTAATTCATTACTATTAAAATCTGCCCACCATTTCAGTCTACATTGATCTCAGTCCTCTGGTCATTTACAGACCAAATAGTATCTCCAATCATTCAACACAGCAGATTTCTATGTTATTTGTATATACTGTAGATTTGGGTAATTCAAACTTGTTTATGCTTGTATTCTTTGCAGAATTAGTATACAAGTTCCTTAACATTAAAATCCCAATTTACTTTAGTTTAAGCTAACAATGCTGATGTCCTGTCCTTGCCTGCCCAGACTGTATCACCATCAACCACCTCTTCAAATGTTGGTGCACAAAAGGGGTCAGAATAAAGAAGAACATCTTAAAAGGATACAGTTTCCAAATAAGGTGAGCACAATGAAGTAGATGGCAGACCACATGCCTGAGCTGACTCCACCCTGGGAGCGGATCCCGTTGTACATCACCTCATTCCAGTCCTCCCCTGTCAGGATCTACATGGAGCAAAGAACAGGCAGGTCAACATTCCAGGTTGGCAAAAAGATGGGGCAAAATCTTAAGACTGCATCTTTCCATCCATTCCCTTGTTTTCCTTTCTCATCAAGGGAGGGGGAAAATCATTCCTATAAATTTTCCTAACTTTTATATGGAAAAGAATTATATACATTCAACACTGAGAGAACACCAATAAAGACTCCTTGTCTTCAAACTTTAGGGTCTCTTCCACTTCTAGCTTGGTCAAGCCTTATAGGAATCACACAGATTGGGTGTTCTGACACTATCTACCTGCCATATGTCTTTACCGAGAGAGTGGCATTGTTGGAAAGAACCTCAAAGGTTCTAGTTTGGAAACTTGGATTCTGGTTCAGTCTTGGAGTCTGGCTAAACAGCATCTTTATCTGTAAGACTCTAAGATGTTGAATTTTCCTTATGACTTAAAAATGTTTGTGGGTTTTTTTTTGGGGGGGTCATTGTTATTGTTTTGATGTGGCAGGGAAAAGTTCTCCATTTCCCCTTTAAACTGACATACAGGTTAGGGAATACTCGAGATTTTAGTCAAACCACAAATGTGATTTGTGACTAAATGTCTTAGACTTGATGTGTTGCAAACATGGTTTTGCATGGGTGTCAGGAGAAAGGCAAGGAGGTCATTGTGATAGTGCTGTTGTGTGAGATAAGAGGCCTAGGAGTCTGTGGGATGCTGTAATGATTATTCAAGCAGGAAGAGTACTACGCTTTTCCCTGAGAGGGAACCAGAGAGGAAAAATGAATCCCCCAACACGCAAAGATACTGTCTTCGTGTATTATGTGGTCCCCGGGACCTCACATAGCATTTCCAGATTGTCAGTTAACCTCATACCTGGAACACAGTCATGATAGCTGCAGGGAAGGTATCAAAATTTGCTGAAGGAGTCCCATCATTGAAGTTAAACCTGAAAAGGAAATTCAGAAAGAATGGAAATTTTGCACACCAAGTTTCTCAGTACCAGGGTTACACAGCTTTCAGCATGTCTCCTTTCTCCTCATCTTCCCTTCTACTTCTCCCCATTGCATGTAACTTATGAAGATGGGAACAGCTACTTTTGATAAATTATGCACTTTGAAACTGGACAATAAGGCAGGATTTGGGCTGCTCAGCAGTTATAATGTTTCATGCAGTACATTTCACAGTGGGTAGGCCCCAACCAAGAACCTGCACAGTGAAAGTATTAACAGCAGAGACACTTATTCTGCACAAGCACTCATGATAAATTCATACCAAGAACAAACAAATCAAATCAATTACATTGGTTGCTTACAGACCCAAGACTATTTAGAGCTTCCTTTGGATGGAAACTCCTCAGGTCCTTACCTGCCTCCAAACAGCTGCATTCCTAGAAGAGCAAACACAACAATGAAGAGGAAGAGGAGGAACAGCAAGCTGATGATGGACTTCATGGAGCTCATCAAGGAGACAACCAAATTCCGGAGGGATGCCCAATACCTATGAAACCCAGACAAGGTTACAACTATAATGCAAAGTATCAAGTCATTCCCTAGTCCAGCTAGCTATGTGCCTGGCAACCTGTGAGACAATTTGCCTTTGTATATTTGTTGAAAGGGGTTGGGGTGGCAGAATGATACTCCCCTGCAGAGTGAAATGTGGCACTCAAGGTGGTCCCACTGATGGTTTTCTGTCTTTGGAAAGGGAAGAAAAACTGAAGAATGTGGGGGGTGGAGCAGGGAAGGGAAACTTGGTAAGCATGGAAGCAAGGAAAAGAAGAGAATGATATTATGCTGAAAAAAAGGTATTGTGAAGAGTCTGAAGGTCATCACTTACTTGGTTATTTTAAATATTCTTAGAAGCCGGAGCGCACGTAAGACACTGATTCCAAAAGATGTACCAGGTCTGAAGATTGCCCAGACTACCTCAAAGATGCTGCCCACTGTGACCTAAGAGGCAAACCCAGTCACAATGAAAGGAGGCAGAGCGAACAGGGAAGCATCTTAGTACTTGGTACACAATCACCAGCTCTCGTGAGGCTCTGGTAAAGTTCAGACTCTCTCCCTTGTCAGCCATTCCTTGTTGGGGAACCCTGCTGTTAAAGTCTACTCCTTTCTTAGCAGGGACCTCCTGCTCTCTGCCTGACTTATCTGGAAAGTGCCTCCAAGCATGGATGCCTGACCTTATTTGGAACATGACCTTTGGCATAGTTACCGGCAATAAAACTGCCCCCAGGTTTTTTCTGTATGATAATTAGGCATTGCCCTGTAGCCAGATGATAGGATCACCCTACCACATGTAAATAAAGCATACTATGAAGACCTATCAGCTGAAGCTTTGGCTGCTGCCTCCACACTATATTTTTCCCTGACCCCCACTGAATAAACCGTGCTGTATCACTGAATCTGACTCTCCGGAAGGTTTTTTCCATCTGTGCTCACTGGCTGTCCTGACCCTGTTTGTCGCTTCTGCTCTCTCTGTTCTCATGGGTTGGTGCCCAACGGCCCACGAGGGGATGGAGAGACCCACAATTCCTAACTCCAATCAAGCTACGTAGGGCACTACCAAAGAAAACAACATTCTACCACTCATCCCCGACTCGTTCTCCATGTCCCTTCTTAAGTTTCATCCTGCTTGCTATGCATTGATTTACTGACTTGTCCAGTAAATTACAGTAGCTAGTCACTGCTTTAGCACAAATTTGATAGCCATAGATAGTCTTGCATATTTCCTTGACAAAGGAATGGCATTCAAATGATGAAAAGCAGTTTTGACTAGTCCAACATACATTCTAATATATAAATCTCAGGGAGGGTCTACATTCACTCATCATTCAAGACTTCAGTGCTACTGAGAATGCTTCAGTTCCTGTCACATTAAACATCTTTCAGATACTGAGGTCATGGGGGATACTTGATTGTAATTGTCTTTGTTGACAAAGGTCTGATGGCTATAGGAAGTCATAATTACAAATAACATTTCAAGGATGTTTCTGTTGTTTATAGTATTGGGACTGGAACCCAGGACATTTTTTTTTTGCACATGCTAGGCAAGTATTCTACCAGAGTTACAGCCCCAATTTTTGCCTTTTTAGATTAATTTTTAATATTTTAATTGTGTGTGGGGTGTGTTTGCATGGGAGTATGTGCATATGAGTACAGGTACTCATGGAGGTCAGAGGTATAGAATACCACTAGAGCTAGAGTTTCAGGTGGTTGTGAGCTGCCTGGCATGGATGCTGGAAACTGAACTCAGATCCTTTGGAAGAGCGGTGCACACTCTTAACTGAGCCATCTCTCCAGTGCCCCAATGTTTGCTTTTTGAGGCATAGTTTCACTATTTAGCTTAGGCCAGCCTGTAACTCATTACATAGCCTAGGCTGGCCTCAATCTTGTGGTTCTTTTGCTTTGGCATCCTCAGTGCTGGGATTATAAGAGCATGCCACCATGGACAGCTTCGAGTTATTTTGTAGTAATATATTTATTGAATGTCAGCTATGTTCTAGACATTGTGTTTGGAGAAATAATGAAAATGAATCCTTACAGCAATGCTGAAAGATATGTGTATGAAGAACTCACGGTTAAAATTGTCTCTTGCTAGCTATTATGCCTGAAACTTGCCTGTACTCAGAACCATGTGTTCTTAGTGAAATGTAGATTGGCAAGTGCTCAAAATCTTTAGCACCTAACTGAAGCTTTGGCAGAAAAAGAAATGGGTTTGGCAGAAGAAGTTTCTACAACCTTGTTCTGCTGCAAACCAGGTATATGAACTGAGCATGGTGGTTTCTATCTGCTCATTTGTAAAGGTCAGGCTCACTCCTAGGACCTCTCATCTTGCACAGGACTCCTGTAAGCACCACAGGAAATAAGCATATATGAACATACCTTGAACACTACAGGCAAGACATGCACCTAAATATTATGTAGAAAATAAACAGCTAGATGAAATGTTCCACATGGAGTCTTGCTAACATAAGCGCATGTGAGTTTGCATATCTCGAGAGCATATCTAGACAATTATGCTAATTTTAAACTGAAGCAGAAAATAAACAAATATAGAACCTTCTCTTTCTTCTGGAACCACCTCTAGAATTAAGTCCTTTGTCCTTCTCTCCCAGAGTTCACCCAAGATAATAAATGGTTCAAAGCTCTGGCTATGAGTAGCTTTGTAAAATCTCACTGAGCTATGTAGTTAAGTGTACACTTTCTACTATATGTGTTATACATCGATAAAAACATTAAAAATCAAAGCACTTTAAAAACCCAAACTCTTGCAGGGCGAGGATCCATTCACTTCTGGACACCTTTATCTCACCATATCCATGTTACTTTTTACAATTTCTGACTTCAATGGTTCATGCTGAGTGACAGAACAAGCTGCTTATCTAAAGCCATGGCATCTCAACATGAAGCAGAGGGACAGGCAGGCTTTCAAGGACTTACCCCAAAATCAAAGCAGTTGAATGAAGAGTGAAAATAAAGGCGTGGCCCCATGCCATACATCTTCAGGGACATCTCCAACAGGAAGAGTCCCAGAAACAAAAATTCTGCATAGTCTGAAAGTGTTAAAAGTAGAAACAGTTGTTCCATAGATGGTGTGGGATCTTCCACTCTCGAACTAATACACACCCCCTATAAATGAGCTCCCAACATCACAATGTAAGGCCACTGGGTGGCCATGTCAAGTCAGGGCTAGGCAAAGTCTAATGGGTGAGTACTCTGAGCAGGAATGAGCCCCTGGCTCAATCAACAATTGATCTTTTACAAGAGGAGGGTTATCATCAGCCTTTAAGTAGAGGATGCAGCTCAGAGGAGAGAGGACTCTACTCTGGCTATGCTGAAGGAGCTGGGGACCCCTCCCCACCTCTACATATAGTCTCCTAGATAGCATTCACATTCAGTGGCAGTCTTATTCAGAGTAGACTTATAAGTTCCTTTGGGGGGTCCATTTGAGGTATCCATTATTCTCAGGACTTTCTCCCTCGCCTTTTCTGTAATTCAAATTCCTTACGTCACTTGAACCTCCATAAGAAACTTCTAGGACCTAAGGTATAACACTAACTCTTTACTTTATCAGCAATGATTTATTTACCCCACTCAGTAATGAAGGCTTGGAGCAGCTGTGCAATAATCCATCCTCCCTTGCAAACAGCTCTGGCTTCCCTCACAGTGTGAACAGTGCTTAGCATGCTTAGGGTGCTAACAGTCACCCTCACATCAACCAACCTGCCCACTTGAGGGGATAACAGTCACAATTTACTTACAAAGGAGGTGAGTGAGCCACTGGGGCTGGTTGTGATGAACAATGGCCACACAGGCAGTGTTGAGAGCCACAACACTCAGGACGATCCAGTAAAACACCTGGGATTTGACCATGTGGCGGATAGAGATGCGCAGAAGCCGTTCCTTGTGCCGGAAATAGGAGGCTCCATCTACTTTTGTGCTCTTGATACTGGCTCGGGCAAGCGGTGTGCCTAAGGAAGGGAAATAAGGAGGAATGAGACTGCAAAACATCCTGGGCTTACCCTCCATGGCCAGGCAGTATCCAAAGGGCAAGATGGGCGGCTTGAGTATCAGGGCAAGGTGACCGCCACATTGCAGGCCTGGGCAACCCCTATGTTATGGGCTAAGTAATTTCCACAGGAAGAGACCCTGCTTTTCCTCTCCAGGCACTCCCAAGTCCTAGGAAACTGAAAAATTCCCAAGCAGGACACCAGGCAGACACCCAGCATCTCGAATCCTAACAGGATCGTGTTTATATCTGTAACAGATTGGGCTTCTCTCTGCCCTTTCCTTTTAAATATGCTTCAGGCACCGGAATCCTTCTGCTGCATTTGTGATTATTTCTGCCACTGGCAACATAAAGCAGCAATGAGCTTTGAAAGTCTCTCCTGCTTTTTAGGATGGAGTCTGATCCTGCCCTTTTTCTGGGGAGGAAAAAAACCTGTCATCAGCCAGAATCTGTAAGAGAACCTAGGATTGAACTGTAGTCATATCAGTGGGTTGTTAAAAGGAATTAGTTTAAATCTCACACGATGGAAGTAGGTTGGTGCTACTACGGTTAAACAAATGACTTCAGGTTCTCCCATCTGGGTCACTAGAAGAAATAGGTCCTGAGGATCCTTGAAAAATATGGGTTGAGTATTCCTTATCCAAAATATCTGAGACCAGAACCAAGTAGTTCAGATAACTTTTCAGAGGTTAGACTGTCTGCTACACATAATGAAGTATCTTGAGGATGGGCCCCAAATCTACAAATAAAATTCATTCATGTTCCACAGAGATCTTATAGTCATGATATGAAGGTAATTTTACATAATATTTTTAATAATTTTGTGGGGAAAACCCAAAGTTTCATAGTATGTGATTTTCCACTTGGAATATCATATCATTGCTAAAAAAAAAAGTTAATTTTGGAGCATTTCAGATTTTGGAATTTTAGATTAGGGATGCTCAACCTGTATCCCAATGTGGGTTCTCATGATCACACCCAGGAAAGAAAGGCGACATCTGCGAATGAGACACATCTGCCACACTTAAAGAACCCTAAACCCCACATTTCATGTGAGCAGCGTCCCCTGGTCTTTTTTCTTTTCTGTAAATCACTGTCACCTAGGTTAGATTCCCATGCCTTCCCTTAATTACATCTCTACATTCTGGATCCTTTGGGTTCTTTTTCCTCCTTGTGGTTCTTCTCAAAAGACAGGATCTTCATTTTCACGGGAGATCCAGAGAAGTAAAAGAAGGTCTAACTGGATCACTCACCCACAGAAGAGATATCAACGCAGTGCTCATCGCTGGAGTCTCGGGTCATGGCCTCCGTCCGGCTCCTTTTGATGGTTGCCCTTCGAAGCACTACGCCAGGGAAGGGGAAGGCCAGTGAGAGGCCACAAGTACACCCAGATCATCCTGGACAAAACTTTTGAGGACTGTGGGCAACAGGCCTTGTGCAAGGGCCCTGCGACACAGGTGTTGGCCTTTAATACTGGAGCCAGGGTGACAGAAATTTCGAACGTCTACAGAACCATAGTGCTGTGCTTGTCAGCACGTGCAGATACTCAAGGGCTCCAGAATCCCTACTTGAGTTTAATCTAACTTGAAATACAGTAGGTAAACAGACACTCCTTATCTATTTGTTTTGGCTCTTCATAAACAATGGCATTTCCCAGTAATGAAAGTGGTCCCGAGATGATCCCCACATATTTTAGAAGAAGATCTCTTCATAGGCCATTGGCTGTATGATGGTCTTTTCATTGAACTCTATCAATCACATGCCCTGGAACAAAGCAACTCTTGGGTTTTATTTTCATCACTTTAAAAGGCATTTAAATCTGTGACTCAATTCTCATCATTTTAAAGCATGAGGGATTTTATTACGGAGAGACTTGCATTTCAAATCCCAGTGCGCACCCCTCTTCTTTCGTTCTCCTCTTTGATTAGGAGAAATTGCCACCGCCTAAGAGGGGCAAATGCTAGCAAAGCGAAGCATTGCAGCGCAGCCTTACCTTCCAAGGCTGATGTTCCAGCATTCTTATTTTCTTCAGCAAGCATGACTTCCTCTGTATGGAAACAAATGGTTTAGCAAATTATCTGTAAATGCCAAATTATTATACAAAATGAGCATCCCTCAGGGGTGTCTCTAGTTTTGGGCAACAGAGTTAAAAGTTCAGAACCCATCATGGGCAGCAACATGGAGAGAAGTCCAGCCTCACCAGGAGCTCAGGCTGCCCAGGAGAACAGGAAGGAGCCACTACAGTGAGGGCAACCTGGGGGATGCTGACAAAGCTCAGGGCAAAGATGTTTGACGCCCTTATTCAGGAGGGCACCATGGGGGCAGGGAGACATGATGCTTTTAATTAAAGTCCCCTAAATTGATAGAAGTGAAAAAGTCCTGTTTTTATTTCCACTCTCCTTTTGGTTTCCTTCTCTCTTAACCACTCAGATGTTTTCTAGCAGTGGTACCTTCTTTCTCTCCCCGCCAGGCCCCAACACCTTGTGTAGGAAGTAAGTGAGACCATGGTCTGGGCTCCATCCAGTTCATGACTTAAAGGCAGGGGCAGAGGAAGATGCTCAAAGGTCCCCAGAGAAAAGGCAGGGCTTGAGCTATGCTTCCTTAAGTCCCCACCAACTCTCCTGCCACACACACACCCTGGAGCAAGCTCCAGTGGTTTTTGTCTCTGGGTCCCGGCAAAGAGCTATCTTTTGTATGCTAATGAGATGACTCACGGCAGGAAAGGGCCCAGATTAATTTAAGGATAAAACTGGTAGCCAGAAAAACCTACCACATAATCAGAAGATTTGAATTTTTAATCCAACATGTCTGTGTAAAGAAATCTCCACAAACCCCTAAACAATAGATTTAGAGAGTTTCTGGGTCACTTCTGTGTGCTAGGAGGCTGGTAAGTTCCACTCCATGTCTTTTCCTACGTATCCCTTGCCCTCTAGTTATTCCTGAGTTGTAGCCTTTATATAAATAAGCAATGCCATTTTCTTGAGCTCTATACATCACTCTCCAGAATCACTGAATTTATAGGGATTGAAGAAGTAGGGATTGCAAGAACTTCCAAAGTTATACTTCATCAGGGAGAATTAAGGGTCATCAGGGATCCCACTTTCTGGCTTCTGAAGTGGGGATAGTCTTATGGGATTTAGACTTTAATCTGTAGGTTCAATGCTATCTTCAGGTGATATTTAATGTCAGAACTGATTGTTGGGCACATAGCTGGAGACAAGAGAATAGAAGGACTTGGTGCTAAAACATGTTTCTGTTTGTTGGTGTTTGTAAAATATGTCACATAGTCCCTAGGATTCTCTTCTCCGAGCCTCTGTCTCCCTAGGAACAACCCTGTACTTCAACAAGGTGTCAACAATTGAGGGGTCCTATTTTCTACAAAGACATATAAATAAACCTCACTAGCATCCCGTCAAAGGTACCAAAGGAACAGTTCTTTGGTTTTAGGTCTAATTGGTGCCAAGGTGCCCTTCTGGGAGTGATGGAGTTGAGTTTTTATTTCTATCCCACTTCAGCCCATAGACTAAAGAGTTGGAAGCTTTGACAATCATTTCCAAAGATCCAAGCTGCTGGGGAAAAGCTTGCCCTGGATCTTATTAAACAATGGTTTAATTTAAACACTGTAACAAGTCAAAGGACAAGAAGAAAAGGGTAGAGTCATTATGGTACTTCCTCTTGCATATAAAATTGAGGGGATACAGAATACATTTCCCAGGGAAGGAACATTTTGAAGCTTGGACATTACTATGTAGGATGGCCATTATAGCACAGCATAAACGTTTAGCTTTGTTTTTTTTTTAAGTATAGCCTCTGGTGAAACATCAAGTTAAACAGGTTAAGTGTTATTGGTAGGGTGCTCCTTTATGCAGGAATCCAGGATTTTAAAGGTTTTTATAAAACATTTGGAGGCTATCATTTTAATATTAGGTCCTTGTTAAAGTTACCTCATAGTAAAATGAATTACCTTAGCCAGGAGTCACTTTTGCTATGCACAGTGTCTGGCACCGGAACAGGCAGATCTGAGAACTCCCCAGGCATATAGAAGATGTGTGGGGCCGCTGTGGATTTGTGAGAAGTACTTCTAGGGCTCTGGATGAGCTGAAACCACCCCTCCCCCACCAATGCCTTTTGCCAAGTTTGCTTTCGAACTTGAGTGTCTTTCCAGGGAAATGTAACCCATATGTCTCTGATTCACTCACGCTCCACTTGTAAAGAGAAGGGCCAGGAAGCACAATTTGAGTCTCGCTGCGTCTTTTTTCTTAGGAGGGGAGTTAGTAAAGCTTAAAGAAAGGGAAACCTTGGAATTTTGCAAGAATTGGAAAAACACAGCAGCAGAAGAGCAGCATCCCAGGCCACCAAACC